TCTCCAGAGCAGTGTGAGGGGCCTGCTAGGCATCTCAGCACCATCTTCCTCATACGTTGTCTTGGTTCTCTAGCTGCTGGAACAGGAATACCACAAATTTTGTCTTTGTTATGTTAATGAGGCAGGATTAGTGTAGGGTGTATCTTGAGTCCATCTCTTTTGAGATATAAAAGAGAATAAAGTGAGCAGAGCAGAGATGGGGGAAGATAGATGCCAAGCCACCTGGAGATCTCCAAGGAACCAGGAAGCAGAAGCTAAAGAGACAAGGACTTTCCTCCAGAGCCAAAAGAGAAAGAAAACCTTCCCCTACAGACAGTGTCTTAGGCTGGGTTCTCTAGAAAAGAAAACCAGTGAAGCTGATACATAGAGAGAGAGAGAGAGAGAGAGAGAGAGAGACGGAGGGAAATACTATCTCAAGGAAATGGCTCATGAAGTTGTAGAGTCTGGCAAGTCCCAAGCCCATGGGTCAGACATCAGGCTGGAGGTATCTCCTGACTCACATAGCTGCAAGGGTTGACAAACCCAAGATTTACAGGTCAGATGGCAAGCTGCTAGTTCATGAACTGCAGAGACTGATGAATCCAAGATTGGCAGGTAAAATGGCAGGCTGCTGGCTCAACTCAAGTCCAAAGAACTAGAGGTCAGATGATGACAAGTCAGATGCAGGATCCAGATTGCAAAAAGTTAGAGGCTTTGCCAGAATGTCCACATATATTGGAAGCAGGCCATATCCCTGAGAAAACTCCCTTTCAACTGATTGACTTATCACGACAGATCTCATCATGGAGGTGATTACATTATATCAGGTTTTGTCATGGGAGATTACTACATCAAACCTGCCAAACCTCTGAGAATCATGGCCCAGCCAAGTTGACACACGACTTGAACCATCACAGCCAGTGCCCTGAATTCAGACTTCTAACCTCCTAAACTGTGAGAAAATAAATTTCTGCTGTTAAATTTTTTGTTAAAGACATCTACTTGTGGTATTTCTGTTACAGCAGCTCTAGTTAACTAAGATATTACCTCTCTGCCAGAGTAACTGTAGGCTACAGTGAGTAGTGATGTAAGCAGTGTAGGCTAACAAGGACCCCCTCCGATTGCGACCCTCCCCAGATTGATGACCAGGAAGTCACTGCTCACCTAAGATGGCCTTCTTTTCTGATCCCAACTATTTTGGTTTTGTTTTTTGGTGGGAAATTAGGGAGAGCATCTCCCAAAATTATATACTGAGGACCCAGCTTCCCTGGGTTTAGTTCTTATCTCAGGGGTTTCAGCAAGAAACAGGAGCACACCCAACACATTTCCAAGAGGAGGGTTTAATGTAGGGTGTGGGCAGGGATGATGAAGCACCCTAGGGCTTGAAACATTATCACCTCTGGGCCTGAAGGGGCAAGGGGAGGGAGCCTTGTAAACAAACCTAGCCAGGATGGTACCCATGGCAGTAGGGACACCAAACAGAAGCTGTGGCTTTTGGAGGAGAAACATTGTAACTGCCAAAATCTCGGTGGGGCAAAGCTAATAAATATCCTGATTTCACTCTCCTTCCTTCTGATCCCCTGCCAGTGTCTTTTATTGGGCAAACCCTAGGTGAAACCAGAGGCAAGGGGACTAGGTGAGGCTGTCAGCAGGAGCCAGCCCCAGGACACAGGGTAGGGCAGAGATTAGGCAGAGTGGCCAGCCCAGGGGCTTCTCTCTTTTTCCTGGCTTTTCTGGAGGGGCTGAGAGAGAGTGGTCACCTCTGCCTTTCAAAGCAGAGTCTGACTCTGACACCTTTTCTCATCCTTCCAGGCCCAGCTTACTTTGAACAAAAAGCTGATCCCAGTCTTGGTTTATTTCTCCCACCCCCTGTCCACCCAGTTCTCAGTGCCTACCACATTACCTAATCCATGACTTGGCGTTATTCTCTGGGTAAATTGGTCTCCCTAGGAGACAGTTCTAGCCTACTCTCTGCTGTGAGCTCCGTGCAGGAGGGGGGTTAGGGCTAAATAAGGCCGTTTGCCCCACACAGGGCCTGGCACAGACCAAGTGCCAACATCTGCCAAGTGAACTAAGTCCTGTGGCCTCCTTTCCTCACTTTGCCTTGGTATGCACTGTCTGGGCACATATTTATGTCTGTATCGCTGAGTAGACAGGGGGCTCCTGGATGGTGAATGGCACAGGCCTGGTGCACAGCAGGTATCAAATGTTGCCTAAATCAACCTAGGTAAAACCATACTTCTTTCCTTCATTCATTTCACACTGTTTATTGAGGTCCTACTATGCTCCCAAAAAGGAGCCCTGGTGGCACAGTGGTTAAGTAGTTGGCTGTTAACTGAAAGGTCAGCAGTTTGAACCCATCAGCTCTGCTGTGTAGAAAGATGTGGGCGCTTACTGTGGGTGCTAGGCAACTGGGGGCAGGGCAGTCTACTTCCGTAAAGAGTACAGCCTTGGCAGCCCTATTATGGGCCAGTCCTATAGGATCATTATGAGTCAGAATAGACTTGAGGGCAACAGGTTTGTTGTTTGTTTTTGATATTATGTTCCAGGCCCTGTGCTGGGGCCTGGGGACACAGCCGTGAAAAAGACACACCAAGATCCTGCTTTATGGAGTTCTCAACCTAGTGGGGAAAGAGGAGAAGGAAGGAATTGAAAATAAACAATATCATTGCAGATTGTGGTAAATGCTATGAAGAAAAGAAATAGGGAGATAGATAAGCAGTAAGTAGTAAGACATTTATTGTGTAAGGGCCAGTGCATCAGGGAAGGCTCTCTGAGGAGAAGACACTTGAGCTGAGATCTGAAGGGGAGAAGTAGGAAGCCAGAATATGAAAACCTAGAAAGGTGCTGTAGGCAGAGTAGATGCAAAAACAAAGGCCTAGAGTGGAGGGGTTTCTACTTCTGAAAAACCAGCCATATGCAAAGAAAAGCAAAACACCTGTGGAGCAGTTCTGCCCTGACACACACGAGGTCCCAAGGAGTCAGAGCTGATGGCCCTTGATTGTGGCGGGTTCAGTGTTTTAGCCTAAAGAAAGGCTTAGAGTAAGGCTAGGAGGGATTAAGAAATTCAGTCTTGGGGGCTGCCCAGGCCCAGCTCCTGGGCTGGGGGTTGGAGGGGGAGGGATGGCTCTTCAGAATGCTACCCCTGCTGCCTGTTGCCTAGCACCCACAGCAAACAGTGCTGCTGGCAGGCCTTGGCCTTGCCCTTGCCCCCACAGCTTCTCTCTGACTGGCAGCAGCTGTCAAGTGAGCAGCAGCTGAGACTTTGCCAGGCACCTCCCCTGGAATATTTCAGGGGTAAGTCAGAAAATGACCAGCAGCCTCCAAAACCCAACTTTTTCTCATTCATACCTTACAAGGGTATATTTGGCAGTCTTGGTGTTAATCCCTCACCCCCTTGCTTCAGAGAGAGATTTATAAATATACAACCTCAGGCAGCGCACTTGGACATGAGCACATGGATTACTGAACACGTACGCAGGCCCCTAGTCACACAGGATATGCCACACATCTGCTGGTGACCACCTCTCCCCATAATCACACGTGCCAATTGCTCACAGTCACCCAATCACACACATGACTATATACCTGTCCCATAAACACAGTCACAACAGACACACACAGAGACACTCTATGAGGGACATAGTCACTAACACACACTCATCCTGTGATCATTCAATCACACACATGACCATACACACACCCCATAAAGTTACAACAGTTACACACACAAACACTCCACAAAGGGCACTACGACCAGACATAACATCTCACAACCATTCAATTGCACACGCACATGCCCACACACACACATCTATCTCCAATTATCACAGTCACACATGGGGCATACAACCCACCACATTTCCCCCTCCACACTCCACACAGCCATGACCATATGCTCTACAGCCCTGTATGGGCACACTGATCACAACACACAAGCCCCCCTAGCACATACAGTCCAGTCACACCACTACCCTCCCCACCCTCATGCTCAAGACTGATTACAGGAACAACTCCAGCTCCTCGGGATTGTTACAGTGCAACGCATTCTTCTGTGATTGAGTCAAAACCTCTCCAGACCGAGGGGCTAAGTGGAAAAAAAGGAATCAGAAGGGAGAGTGCTGGTCTGGGAAGGGGCCCAGCAGCTTCTTTCCATGGGAAGAAGACTTCAGTGTTGAAGTCTGATCCTGATAGTGAGGGGCTGAGGACTTAGGGGGTGGGAGTGGTGTGACGCTTGGAGTTGGCAGAAGCAGGGCTGGGTGCGAGTGACAGGTGGAACAAGGGGAAACCTTTGGGGGGAGGGAGCCGGGACGGAAAACGTTGTTAAATATGGATTCAGCTTTACAGGCTTAATCCTTCCCAGGCAACCCTCCCACCGCCCTGCCCTAACCCTGCCACAGGCCCCCAGGCCCCAGACTGTCCCCGAGCAGGGTGTGGCTGTGTGCTCTCCTCCCCAGTCCACGCCCTGCCCCACCCTTCACGACAGCTGCGGACACAGTGCCCCGGGGCGCCGAGGGTGGCTGCCGGGCGCGCTCTGCCCACTGCGCGAGTGGGGATCCGAGGGCGTCGAGCTGCAGCGGACATTCCGGAACACTTGCGGGCGAGGGTGCTGGGTCCTTCTTAGTTCCCCAAACCGTGCCCCTACGGCCAGCCGGCCAGGGCAAGGGGCTCTACTGGGGCTGCACAGTGCCCCCCCCCGCCCCATACCAGGACCCTGGGCCGAGAAGGGCGGAGAGAAAGAAGGTTCAGGAAGATCTCAGGGCTGGCTGGTTTGCGAAAGGCCGCTCGACTTCCCCCACCCCCACCCTGGGCTGGTCTCGGGTGGGACGGCCTCTCCCCGCCCCCCGGGCCGCGGGGCCCGCTCCCTCCTCCTACGGCTGGAGTCCGGGCCAAGTGGGTGCGCCCGGCCCGGGCGCCCGGGATCCGGCTGCAGCTGACAGTGCGGCGGGCAGGCGCCGGAGCTAGCGGCCCGCAGGGCTGGCTATTAATAACGCGGCTGCTGAGCCCGGGGTCGCGCAGCCATGGCCAGCCCGGAACCCCGGTGCGGCGGGGACAGCGCCGCCCAGGCCGCGAGGTAGGACCGTCCAGAGACCGCGTCGCCGCCCCTTTGGGGAGGGGGCGCAGGGTAATCCCTTCCCCCACGCATGAGCACCCTATGGTTGGCTGGGAAGTAGTGGTCCAGCCGGGCTGGGGCACGGGGCAGAGCCAGCCTATCCATGGCAGATAGGGGTATCTTTCTAGGCCAGAAGTTGTGGCACCTCAGTTAGTCTGTGGCTTTTTATGATATCCTCCCCTTCCACTGGGCTGTGTGAGAATTAACCCTTTCAGACCAGTGGGCATCAACTATTCAGACAAATGCTATTTGGTACTTAGTGGCCTAAGACAATCTTACTTTCCTTTCTTCCTCACCCCAAATGTCATGTGGGATGGAGGCCTCCAGCTGCTGAATTCCTGTGTGGAAGCCACTTGGTGCAAGGTTGAGCCTAGGCCAACTTGAAGAGCCTGTTCAGGCTGCTGGCTTTCTCCTGTCTGGGCCTAGAATGGAGGGTCAAGGCAGGGCCTAGTGTCCTCGACCAGCAGGGGGCCTTGGCTGGGCAGGAGTTCTGGAGAGAGGCCTTCCCCCATCTACTCACACTCTCAGTTTATGGCTAGTCAGGGGGAAGGGACCTGTGGCTGAGGAGTTTGGGGTGACTGGGGAGTATTTTGGCCCCAGGTCAGAGTATGGCCCTGCAACTTTCAGTGTACTGAGAGGCAGAGGTGCAAATTTACCATCACTCCATCCACACAAACCCTTTTTCTGTCACACATGGGTACAAGGCCGAGCACACAGTCTTAAACACAGAAGCTTACGGTAACTGCCATACATGCATATAGGTACAGGTGGAGTCACAGACATGTGCTTGTACAATGTCACACACACTCCCAGACACAGCCCTGATGGACATGGTGGGGAGCTGCAGGACTACAATGAGGACAAAACAGGGAGAGTGGCTGAGGCCCGAGGGAGTCTGAGGTCAGGGGCCCCAGCTGCACTCACTCCCTCTCTTCAAGGCCTCCCATAATCTGCTTCTTTCCTAACTCCTTGTAGAGAAAAGGCTGTGTGAGGGCAGTGAGCAGCTAGCAGAGGGCCTGGCACTGTGGATGGTCACCACAACCATGAGGCAACATGGTGTATGGTAACAGCACTGGCAGTCAGGAGGCCTGGGTTCTACTTCTAGCTTTGCCACTTGACCTTGGGCATGTTTCCTCCTTGGATCTCAGTCAGTTTCTGCCTGCCTGCCTTCTACAGAGCCCCACCCTGGAATATCGAGCAGAATGAGAACTACACGTGTCCTTAGGAAATTCACCATCAGCAGAGTCAGACAGATGCACATCTATAACAGAAAGCACTAAGTGCGAAGAGCAGCTGCATATGAAGTGCCTTGAGAACACAGAGAGGGAGTTTATAGAAAACACTTCACAGAGATGGAAGTTTGAGCAGGGCTTGAAGGATGAGTAGAAATTTGTTAAGAAGGTAGATATGAAATACATTTTGAATGCTGTTAAACATGCTGTAGTTATTTTACCCCCTTTAGACCTTCTGCCTACCGTAGGGGGAGAGGCAACGGAGCCGTAATTTGTTGCTCTGGAGTGGGCTGCCGGCCTTGTCCGGGCTCTGCCACTTATAAGTGTGGAGCCCTATGTGAATTCTTTAATCTGTTTGTGCTTTGGTCTCCTCATCTAGAAACTAGGTGGATAATAAAGAATATTATATAAATGATGGAGTCTCTGGAGGGCACAGTTAAGTGTTCAGCTACTAATCCAAAGGCTGTTGGATCAGCTCTACCCCGAAGTGCGTCAGATTGTACTTGGTGCTCTTCTGAAAGGTCACAGCCACTGAAAACCACATGGAGCACAGGTCTACTCTGAAATATGCATGGGGTTGCCATGAGTTAGAATCAAATTGACGGCAACTGTATTGGTTATTTATATAAATATTCACGTAAAGTGCTTAGAAATAGTGTCTTGAGCACAGTAAGGCATTCCAAAGTGGAACACTGTCTGCCGGGAAAGTAGAGACTGTCAAGTTTCAGGGTGGGCCTGGCTGGGTGGGTAGGTGTATCATTCCCAGTGCTAGGAGCTCTACTTACCCAGGTTGTGCAGGATTGTTCTCTTGTCAGGTGATGTATTTGTTGTTGTTTGGTACCTGTCAAGGCAGTTCCAGCTCAGCACCCCTACATTCAACAGAACAAAACACCGCCCAGTCCTGTGCGCTCCTCACAATCCTCACAATCGTTGCCATGCTTGAGCCCGTCATTGCAACCCACAGTCTGTCTCATTGAGGGTCTTCCCCTTTTCCGCTGATCCTCTACTGTACCAAGCATGATATCCTTTTGCAGGAATTGGCCCCTCTGACAACATGACTGAAGTCTGGCCATTCTGGCCTCTAAGGAGCATTCTGGCAGTATGTACTGCATTTTTCAGCTGTATCCTTCAGACATTGTGGACTAAGAGCGGGAAGTGTAAAAACTTAATACATGTTCTGGATTGTCAAGCATTGGGTGGGCTGCAGGGAGTGATGTGAGATGAGGCTTAAAAAGTATGTTTTAAGGGCCTTGAATCTGTGCTAAGCAGTTGGTTATCTGTGGGTGAAGAGCAGTATGATTGGCTCGATGTTGTAAGGTCCTCAGTGGTGCAAATGGTTTGCATTCAAGTACTAACCTAAAGGTTGGCAGATTGCACCCACGCACCCAGTGGTGCCACAGAAGAAAGGCCTGAAGATCTGCTTCTGTAAAAGATTACAACCAAGAAAGCCCTAAGATGTAGTTCTTTTTTTTTAAAAGTTTTTATTATAACTTGGGTGAAAGTTTAGAGACCAAAATTCGTTTTCCAGTCAACAATTTGTACACATTTTGTTTTGTGATATTGGTTGCAATCTCCTCAATATAACAGCATGCTTCCCACTTCCTCCTTGGTCACCCCATATCCATTTGTCCTTCTTTCCTGTCCCTTACTGCTTTGGGAGCTTTGTTTTTGGACAGATGCTTACATTTTGGTCTTCTTTGGTTGATTGTACTGAGGTGTATATTTCTTCACTTTATAGGCCTGTCTATTGTTGTTGATCCCCAGGTCTGGGTTCGGTTCCAGCCTTGAAGGGTCTCTGAGGGCCACAGTCTTAGAAGTGTCACCTGTCTCCATCACACTAGCAAGTATTGTTTTTTTTGTGTGTGATTTTGAATTTTGTTTTACTCCTCCCTGCCCTCCCTTCTTTGCCCAGGACCTTCTATTGTGATCCTGATCAGAGCAGTCGGTAGTGGTAGCCGACCACCACCACTGGTCTCAGGCTCTTGGAGGCTGTGGTTTGAATAGTCTGTTAGTCTTTGATTTTCTTTACTCTTCTTTGCTCCAGACAAGGAGAGACCATACGATGCTTCTTAGATGGCTATTCGTAAGCTTTTAAGACCCCAGTTACTACCCTATGGAGTAGTTCTATTCTGCAGCACAAAGGAATCACCATGAGTCGGATGGCAACGGTTAGTGGGCTGACTGTGGAACTGTAGAAAACAGATTGGGAGGGGGAGAAGGAAGAATACTGGAGACAAAGAGACCTGTTAAAAGGCTGGTGCAAAAGTCCAGGGGAGAGATGAGGACTTGGCCTAGGGCCCTGACAGTGGAATGGAAAAGAGGAGGGATGGAGATTGGAGACTTCCTGAGATAGAAAGGTCAATTCTTAGTGAATTGGCTGTATGAGGGAGTAAAGAAGCTGTCAAAAGCTTTCTTTCCCGGTCTGTGTGGAGTATGGTGACGTGTCTCCATGAGCTGGAGAATACAGCTGAAGCAGCTTGGGCAGGAGGAAAATTTGGCAGTTGAGTTTGCAGTGTCAAGTGACATCAGGTAAAGATATCGGAAAACCCGTTCCTCTCTGGTTAAATGAGGTGAATGAACAAGGCAGTTGTTGAGGTTGTCTTTGAATTTTAAGTTTTAGTGTGGCTGCTGAGTTGAATGAGGCCAGCAATGTCTGAGGCCTATTGAAGCCTCACTTTTTGGTTTCTAGAGGGCCAACATGTAGGGAATCCCAAGGTGTTAGAGAGGGGGACAGAGTATACAACAATCTAAAACAAAAACAATCTTTATTGGGACTTGGAGTTAAGGTGAACCTTAAAACCTGGACATAAGTAGCCTTTTTTAGGACAGATAAATCAAATGCTTTGGTATATGGAGCTTTTCATTTATGCTTTATATCTCAAAAAAAAAAAAAAAGAAATTTCTTAAAAGTAATGCTCAAAATTTACTTTGTTTTCTAACTGGTGCACACTACCATAGTTTCCTTGAGCAAATTGCTTAATCTCTCTTAACCTCAGTTTCCTGATCTGTAAAATGGGGCTGATATGTATAACTACCATATAGACTTGTTATAAGCATTAAGTGAGCTGATATATGTAAAGCATTTACAACAGCGCCTGGCACATAGTAAACCCTTTATAATTTATTATTATTATTTTCATGGTATTTTATATTTTCAAAGAATTGCTCAGAGATCCAAGGCAGATACGGTGCATTTGAAACAAGAAAAACTAGAGCCACTTGAGGGACAACAATGCAAGAGAGCATCCCCAATTGGAGTTGAGTAGGCTGGCACGCAGCTGGGTCAAGGAGCTCATTAGTGGGAATTATAGAATCTCAATTCCAAGAGCCCTTGGTAGGCTAGAAGGATGGGCCAATCCTAACAAGATGGAATTTTACAGGCACAAGAGATGTGATTTAAAAGCACTTGGTATAAAACGTTGTAGGGGTTTTAGTCAAACTCAGCATTTGTCAAGTGTATGCTGGAGTTGCCCTATGTGTTAAGAGAATCTTGGCTTAATCAACAGGAGTATAGTGTCCAGAGTTCTCTGCTCAGAGCATAGCTGGGGTACATCCCCAGGGGGCAGTGACAATCTGGAGCCTGGTCGGAAAGAAGTGGCCCAAATGAAGAGAGACTGGAAAACTTGGCATGTATGGAATAATTGAAAAGCCAGATAAATTAGTCACCTTGAAGTGTTTAAAAAGCTTATGTGGGAAAGATGTTAGATTTGTCATCTGGTTTTAGAAGAATCAAGTCCAACAGATAAAAACTGCAGGTCTTCCTGTGGCTTCCAGCCAAATAATAGATAGGAATATGGGGTGAACATTTACCTCAGGTAGATACATACACCCCTTGGAGCGATCAATCATGGGGGAACAGAAGGGCAGTGTTTGCATAGGTAGACAGTTGGGGTGGGGTGTGATGTCTGGGAGTGCATGGGAGGGAAGGACATGGATAAGACGTAACTACAGGGAGGAAGTGGGAAGAGAGCTGTTACACTGTGGGCAACTGCAGTCAATGTCATGAAACAATGTGTATGAACTGCTGAATGGAAAATGAATTTGCTCTGTAAACTTCCACCCAAATCACAATAAAAATTTAAAAAAAAAAAAAATGGACGTCTTCTCCCAACATTAGAATTTTCTTATGACAGAGGACAAATATATAGTGGTCCCTCAGGTATGAGTTTCCCATCTTTGAAGGTATATAAGGATCCATTTACACTGTGGGGATGTTGTCAGGGGTTCTAAGCTGTGGACTGTGTGGGGAAGGAATATAAGGGAACAGACTGGTGACCTGTGAGTTCTGAAAAGCTGATGTAACCTAGGCCTGAGACCTAATGAGTCGTCATCAACCATCCTGGGATTGTGGTTGCCTTCTCACTTTACATCATTTCTACTTGCAGGGAAACAAAGGCAGAGGCCAAGTCCACTCTTCAGGAGGAGAGCTCCAAATCCCCCAATGAGGTAGAGACCTTCAACCCAGAGCTTCCTCTATCTTTGGAGGGGACCTTGAACCTAGAGGACATTCTCTACCTGGGAGATACAGGTGACCTTGATGAGACACTGTTTGTGGAAGAAACTGAGAAGCCAGAGGAGACACTGTTTATTGAGGAGACAGTGCAGCCAGATGAGACACTGTATGTGGAAGAGACAAGGAAGCCAGAGGAGATATGGTCTGTGGAAGAGCCCACGAAGCCAGCAAAGGCTGTAAGCCCAGAGCAGATCGAACATGTGGAAGAGATAGTCACAAGGGAGGAGAACTCTAACCCTGAGTTGAGCCTCAGGGCAAGGCCCAGTGCAAGCACAGAGGAGGCTCTGAGCATAGAGGACCTGGAATTGCTAGAGGAGCGTTTCCAGCAGTGTGTCCAAGCTGTGGCCCAGCTGGAAGAGGAGAGGGATCAGCTCATCCATGAGCTTGTGTTGCTCCGGGAACCAGCCCTACAGGAGGTGCAGCAAGTCCATCAGGACATCCTGGCTGCCTACAAATTGCATGCCCAAGCAGAGCTGGAGAGGGATGCACTGAGGGAGGAGATCCGGCTGGTCAAGCAGAAGCTGTTCAAGGTAACAAAGGAATGTGTGGCCTACCAATACCAGCTGGAGTGCCACCGGCAGGATGTGGCCCAGTTTGCTGATTTCCGGGAAGCGTTGACTACACGGGCATCCCAGCTTTCAGAAGAGCTGGCCCAGGCCAGGGATGCCTATCAGAAGCAGAAGGAGCAGCTGAGACAACAACTAGATGCACCCCCGAGCCAGAGGGATGGGCACTTTCTCCAGGAGAGCCGGCGGCTCTCTGCCCAGTTTGAGCACCTCATGGCCGAAAGCCGCCAGGGCCTAGAGGAAGAATATGAGCCCCAGCTGCTGCGGCTCCTAGAGAGGAAAGAAGCTGGGGCCAAAGCTCTACAGAAAACCCAGGCTGAGATCCAGGAGATGAAGGAGGCTCTGAGACCCTTGCAAGCCGAGGCCCAGCAGCTCCGCCTGCAAAACAGGAACCTGGAGGACCAGATGACACTTGTGAGGCAAAAACGAGACGAGGAGGTGCAGCAGTACAAGGTAGGCCCATTGAATATGAAAGCAAATCCTGTCTTTTAGCTTGGGGAAGGGAAAGGTGACCAGAATCAAGTATCTTTGAGACTGAATCAAACTCTTAGTTGTAGAAGAAACCATTATTTGGGGCCATTTCACCCACTTTTTTCATTCTTTGTTCATTCAGGCCTGTGCTAGGAGTTGAAAATTACCAGTACTATTTTAATTGACACAGAACTTTCACATCTGATCCTCACATTAGTCCTGTAAACCAAGTATTACCATTTTCTATACATGAGGAAACTGAGGCTCAGTGAGTGAGAGTAATTTGAACCTTGGTCTGACCAACCCAATATTTATCCTCATTCCATAGTACCATTTTCCAATTCCGACTGGCTCATACTTGGGTTTATATAGAGGGAATCAGCTAGGTAGAATTAATTCAGCCCCTCCTCTCTACCCCATACTCACCCTTGAGTCCCATCTGACTTGTTTTTCCAATCTTAAAATTGGAATGAAATCTATATTCCTCACTCTCCTTATTTGTGCATTTGTCATCATCTCCCTTGTATTCAAGGTATTTCTGATTACGTGAGCCAGTTCTAATCCCTTTTTAGAACAGAGTTGGATAAAAATACTAAATGAATAAACAACTGTGTCTGCTTTCCAGACTCTGAGCTTTCGGAAGGTAGGGAGAATGTTTTATCTATCTCTGTGTTCTTTTCTGCCACCCATGGCTCTGAACATACATCAGTTAAGTGCTGAATTAAATTTATGCTGCTGGGCACTGTGAGACAATTACAATGCAGTGCCTTTTAGAACAGTATTTTTGTCATTTGGAACATATATTCCGTTGGATAAACTTAAAAACCTTATGCTCTCTGATTCTGATCCATCTGTAAGGGAATGTATCCCCTGTTGAAAATGGCTGTTATCCACCTGAGTGAAGATCTTTAATCTTTCTGTAGTACGTGTTATGAACACTTGGATTTTTTGTTATAATATTGTTTTCAGATGATGCATACTTTTAGTTCCTTTACCCACCCCACTCCTCTCCCAAATTGACTTTTTACTGGTTCACAATCTAGCATAAATACTGCCCGTAACAGCTTATACTCAGATTGACATTACACTAATAATTGTAATCCAGGCTAGAAGGTATTATGTGATTAAAAAGAAGTGCAAGTTAAGAGTATTTCTGGAATATCGGAGGGATTATTTCTAGCTATGGGTTAAATCAGAGACCTCTTCATGGAAGAAGGGGTGGGATTTGAGACAAGCATTGAAGGGAAGCTCTAGACCAGCACAACTGTCCAACATAAATTATAATGAGAGCCACAGAAGTGATTTTAAATTTTCTAATAGCCACATTAAAAAAGAAAAACAGGTGAAAGTAATGTATTTTATTTAACCTACCTAAAATACAATCCCAAAATGTAAATTAATATAAAAAATCATGAACTATTTTACTTTCTTCACTGTATTTTTGGTATCTGGTTATTTTACATTTTCAAAAACTAAAAAGACCAAACCCACTGCCATCTAGTCGATTCCAACTCATGTTGTTGTTGTTATGTGCCGTCAAGTGGGACCCAACTCATAGTGACCCCTCCTTGGGTTTCCCAGGCAGTATCACTATGGAAGTAGATTGCCCCATCTTCCTTCCAAGGAGTGGCTGGTGGGTTTGAACCACTAGCCTTCTGGTTAGCAGTCAAGTGCCTTAGCCACTATGCTACCAGAGCTCCTAGTGACCTCTATTGGGCTTTGAAGGTAGTAGACTGCCCCATCTTCCTTCTGTGGAGTGGCTGGTGGGTTTGAACCACCAACTTTCTAGTTAGCAGTCAAATGCCTTAGGCACTGTGCCATCAGAGCTCCTTATTTTACATTTTCAGTATATCTATATTTGGACTAGCAATATTTCAAGTGCTAAATAGCCACCACATGTGGCTGGTAGCTATCTGGACAGTGCATATCTGGACATGTAGAAATGCCAGGAACTAGATGGTGCAAAGACACAGGAGGTATGAGAACAGAGCATGTTCAGGAAATTAGTAATTTTGGGAAAAACTATATAGGTTGGGATGGATCACACTGGGCTTTGAAATCCAAACTAGGGAGTTACTGTGGTTAGGAAGTTACTGTAGGTATGAGTTAATGAGGGCAGTGGGAACAGAAAGGAAGGATGCAAGAACAATTGCAGAAAAATACACTTGGCAATTGAATGACTGAGGTAGGGAGGTAGGGAGTCAAAGAGGATGCTGAGATTTCAGGCATGGTTTAGTAGGATGCTTAGGTCATAAGCAGGAAACTCTCTGGGTAAGAGTTTTCTGACACCATACCTGAGAAGTTATAGTCAGAAATCATTATTTCCCCTAATGATTTAAATTATCGTACTGGGTTTATTTTAGATTTCAAGGATCATTTTAAGAAACATTCTTGATATGAACTTACCCTATTGCTGTACCATAATTAACATAGGAATCAAGGTGTGAAGGACCCGATTCTTTCTAAAATGGCTTCCTGAACTGTTTACTAGAGGTCACCTCCGGCATTGGATTACTTTTCAACGGTGACCCTTTAATCCCGAGGCTGTGCTCCACTCTGACCAACTGCAAACTCTGTCTCTTCCATCACCATCCTTGTTCATTCATTTAACAGATTATTTTCTAAGTGCCTACTTACTGTGTGCCAAGCAGTAAGCTAAGTGTTGACAATAAAGGAATGAGAAAGGTGGGGTTCCTGCCCTCAAAGAGTTTGCAGTCCAGGAGGGATGCCAGGTAAAATTAACGTATTTTATGAAATTTAAGATATTGTCGGTTTTAAGGTGCATCCTGATTTGGAAATTTAAAATGTGAAAAGTTATTTTAGAATTAATGAAAGAATTATAAGCAGTTATATTTGTAGGAATCAGGCACTCTACCAATGAAGCAGGCATGATTACCCCTGCCTGGGGAAGCAAGGAGGAATTTCATACAGGGTTAACAGTAGCTAGTGCTCTGGTGGCATAGTGCTTGAGTCATTTGACTGCTAACCAGAAGGCTGGCAGTTCAAACCCACTAGCCATTCCTCAGAAGGAAGACTGGGCAATCTACTTCTGTAATGATACCGCCTCGGAAACCCAAGGAGGGGTTGCTATGAGTTGAATCGACTCGACACCAGTGAGTTTTTTTTTTTTTTTTGATTTAGTGCTCTTTGAACACTTGCTATATGCTAGGCGAGGCACTTGAAGTATTTTACATGTAATGACTCATTTAATCAATACAGCTCTGCGAGGCAGGTATGAACTACTGTCAGCACTTAAAAAACGAGAAAACAAGTGAGGCAGAGCAGTTAAGTCATTTGTCTAGGGTTATACGGCTAAGAAGTGATGGAGCAAGCATTTGACCCTGAGCAATCTAGCTCAAGTCCATACTTCATCTCTACAAGGTAGTTGACTTGGGCCTTGAAGAAATTCATTGGGCAGACAAGGGAAAGACATTCTAGGCAGAAGGAGCAGCTTGTATAGAAGCATGAAGACACAAAATGACATGTTATGGGAAGTGAGCAGCTCAGTGTGGTTGATCACAAGGAATGTGAGAAAGACACATGAGGCTGGGGAGGGGTTTTAAAGAATCTTAAAGAACAGATTTTAAAGAACTCTCAGTGCTTTTCAAAACAGGTTGTCTCCAAAGTCACAGACCTTCCCCAAAGCAGAATTTTACCTGGACTATCAATCAGGTAAACAGGTGAAAGAGGAGCTACTCTGACTACAGAGGCAAGGGGATCCTAATTTGGTGTCCTCCTGGGATTTCACTGAAAACATCTAAAGAGCTACAATTTTTAGGCACTGACATCATGTAATAAAAATTATAGAGATTTAGAAAAGCAACAAAGCAGAATGGTTAAGAGGATGAACTCTAAGCCTATCTGTGGCAAATTACAACTCTTCCTAACAGGGAAGCTAACTTGGGGCGAATTAACCTCTGTGGCTGAGATTCCTCACATGTAAGATGGGATTAAAAACACTGTCCCCTGATAGGGTTTGTAAAGCACCTATTTTCAGTGGTGCCTGGCACATCCAAACCAAAAAACCAGTCCCTGCTGTCACGTTGACTCCAACTCATAGTGATCCCTCCTTGGATTTCCAAAGTGGTATCTCTACGGAAGTAGATTGCTCAGTCTTCCTTCCGAGGAGTGGCTGGTGGGTTTGAACCTCCAGCCTTCTGGTTAACAGTCAAATGCCTTAGACACCATGCCACCAGAGCCTGGCACATAGGTATGCAATATTTAGATGGCAGTGTGGAAGGTAGATTGAGAGCATGGAAAAACTTTAGACCTTTTGAGGGAAAGATTTTACATGAGACATTTCTGAGGTAAAATGCATAGGATTTGGTGACTGGTTACTGTGCGTGGGTGAGGGACTTGCTGAGAGTAATCCCAAGGTTTCTAGTCTGAGATTGGCAGATTCCTTATGCTATTAACTGAAATGGGGAGTTTGCTGAGTATTTCACGTCAGCAAGCATTCTCTGTAAGGCAATGGAGATACCAAGAATTAGGAGCCTACAATCTGATGGGAAGTTAAATATGAGTAGAAGACAAGCAGCATCATGAGGGAACAGATGTCAAGAGCCTTCCTTCCTTTTACCTCCTCACAGCCACCCCTGCTCCAACCAAAAAAGCCAAATTCACTGCCGTTGAGTCAATTCCGACTCATAGCAACTTCCATTGGATTTCCAAGGCAATAAATCTCTGTGGAAATACATTGCCTCATCTTCTTTCCGTCGAACAGCTGGTGGGTTTGACCCACCAACATTCTGGTTAGTCAAATGCTAGGAACTGCACCACCATTGCTCTAGCCATTACAAATTACCTGCATTCTAATGAGCCACATTTCCCCTTAATTCCACACCTGCATATTTGACCAGAACTCATGTGATAGATACTCCTCTCCCAGGTTTCCACAGCATCAGTCACACCGTATTTCGTTGTTTCCCCCTCGAGTGGAGACTGTTATTTTTTTCTATGTCTGTGGCCTAAATCGTTTCCAAGTAGAAAATTAATACTGCCAATAAAAGTGCTACTGAGATTCGAGTAAGGCATGATGATTTAGTATTGGGGACGCTGGAGACTGACACGCACTGGCCCTTGAATAATCGGTAGGATGAGGCTGGGGGTGGGCGAGAGCAAGGGGCAGGCTGGCTAAGCAAGGGAAGTGGCAGGAACAGTCCGAGATCTCTAAGTTGGTCACATTAGACAGCAGTGTCCAATAAAAATATCATGCAAGCCACAAACATCATTTAACCTTTATAGGAGCCACGTTAAAAAAATGAAACCTGTGTGTTTTACACTTATAGCCCTCTCCGTTTGAACTAGCTGTACTTCAAATGCTTCCACATGTAGCTAGTGGCTTCTATATTGCACAGTGCAGGCTAGACAAAAAGTTATTATGGAAGAGCACTGGAGGTTCAAATTAGGATAGGAGTCAAGTTAGAGTGGGTCTTAGTACCAGACTAAACAAGGTGGAAAGGCTTTGAAGGATTCTGAGGTGATAAAGCAACTTTGGGAAAGTTAATCTAGTGGTGCTACATAGAAGTGAGGGACTGGAGTGTTCTTAGTGTTAGTCCTTCCTTCATTCCAGTGACATTGTTCAGCCCTGTCAGAGCTGATCACTAATGGTGCAGACTGCCTTCCCAAGTATGTACTCCTGTTCCTCACCAAAGTAACAGGTTTGCTAGGTATTGAGCACTGGGAAACTGGGGCACAGAGTTATGTAGATATTCACTTTTATGTGGTGAGGGTGCACCTCTCTGTGTGGTGCCAATGCAAGGCTGGGCACCAAAAAACTCCAGCTTTTTGAAAAAGTTGATTAAAGCTGAGATTCAGCAGAGTATCAAAATTATGGACTGATGTGTCATGGGTACAATACCAAGGATGACTCAGAGAACAAATTATTTAGGTCCTCTAATAATAGCATGTACCCAAACTGGATTCCTATTATTCCTCAAAATCTGAGGTCAAGTCACTATCCCTTCAAAATATAACTTCCAACTTCTCCTTACCCCTGCCCTCCCCAACTCCCTGCTGCTTCCTTAAGGATTTATGCCAGCTAGCAGCTCAGCCAGAGAATGACTTGTTGCTATCTTCCTGACCTCACCCTTCAGGCATTAAGACTGGGTGAAGACAATTCACAGAACATACCCCAGCCTGGGTTTGGCAGAATGGGAAATGGACGGTTACCTGAAGGCTCTTGAGGGGCTCCTGGGCATTTCCCATTCCATCTACTATTCATAAATTGTTTTCTCAAAATGCCAGAGAAAGCAGGTTTTCAGAATTCAAATTAGAACAGAACAGGCCAAGGAAAAGCGTAAATGAATCTGAGTCATAAAAAAAGTGGATGAAGGAGAGTGTTGTTTATAGGTAGGGGGAGCAATAATACTTCCTACTGTGTCAGTTCAAGTTGCAGAAAGTATGAACATAATGGTGAAAGTGAACAAGCCACATATATAATAAAATATGCAATGGCTGTGATTTAGGGCAGAAATGGGAAAGCTGCTCCTATTTCTGACTTTCAGGGAGTCTGTCTTTCAAGTAAGAGAACTTCTACACAAATTCACAAAGTCTTTTTGTGTAATAAGTAAAAGATACAGGAAATTAACTATATACACGACAGCCATCACTCTTCAAATGCAAAAAAAAATAGGTTAAGTTCAATGATCAACTATTTTTCCTGTAAATAAGAGTCCCAAGTATTGCTTCCACTATTAGTTTTTTTCAACATAAACTGTTAAATTTGTTAGGATATTATAAAAACTTATTATCTTAAATGAAACAAACTTATATAGAGAGGGAGAAGTATATGAAATAAATTAAAAAAAAGTGTTATCAAACTTTCAGCTCACCAAGATCAGCATCCTCATCAATTAGGTAAGACTAAGGGAGCTCTGGTAGCATAGCGGCTAAAGCACTTGACTGCTAACCAGAAGGCTCGTGGTTCAAACCCACCAGCCACTCCTCGGAAGGAAGGTTGGGCAATCCTACTTCCGTAGAAACCCAAGGAGGGGTCGCTATGAGTTGGGGCCGACTTGACGGCACATAACAACAACAACAGATTACATGTCCACCATTTCCAGGATTCTAAGAAGCAAGCTGTCTTTAACAGACAAGAATTCTTTCAGGTCACATTCTCACCTTCTCAAGACACTTTACCTCATTGAACCTTTTTCCTAATATATCAAATAAAAGGGTAATAGCAGCCTCCATACTATTGTTAAGATTAATGTGTAAGAAAGTGCTATATAAACGATGAAGGGTAGTCACGTTTTCACTGCCTCATGAGAAATGTTCTTGGCCCTCCCTGCAGGAACAGCTGGAGGAAATGGAAGAACGACAGAGGCAGTTAAGAAGTGCAGTGCAACTCCAGCAGCAGAAGAACAAAGAGATGGAGCAGTTAAGGATCAGCCTCACTGAAGAGCTCTCGACCTATAAGTCAGTTTTTCCTGCCGGTCAAATCTTGTCTAACACTGGCTGACGGGGATGGTAGGGAGGACACACTACTCAGGGGAAATGGTTTTCAAACTGTGCTTATCCATGAACAGATGAAAAATGGCTCTCTTTTTTTAATTAAGGGCTAAGGAACAGGCTGAGCCTCCAACTTCTCAGGTGGAATAGAGACAATCTCAAGGTGATCCTTGTGATAGAAAAGTGGTGTTTGTATCTTAACTGCTTTCCTAATAATACTAATACCTTTTTTAAATTTTATGTCTAAAATATGTCTGATGACAATTAAATAATCAAAATGCCTGGTTCAGATATTTAGGGTTCAGTTGGAATATGTTTCTAAGTAGGACTCAACACATAATAGTAACACCAGGGACTCTGCAACAGGATAAACCATCGAGGCTCTGTGCAGTCTCTTTCCCATCCCACCTGCTATTCATAAACTGTTCTCTTAAAATAAGTTTCTCTGGTGGCATAGTGGTTAACGCATTAGGCTGCTAACCAAAAGGTCAGCAGTCTGAACCCACCAGCTGCTCCATGGGAGAAAGATGAGGCAGTCTGCTTCTGTAAAGATTTATAGCTTTGGAAACCCTATGTGGCCAGTCCTACTCTGTACTACAGGGTCACTATGAGTTAGAATCAAGTAGATGGCAGTGGGTTTTTAAACTGCCAGAGAAAGCATTTCTGTTATCAGAATTCAGTCTATGACAAAGGAGACCAAGAAGGGCAGATAAATGAATCATAAAAAAGCTGAAGGAGGGTGTTGTTTATGGGCAGGGAATTAATACTTCCTAACAACAACAACTGTATCAAGTTGCAAAAAGTATGAACATAATGCTTAATGTGAAACAAGCAACACACCTTATATAATAAAATAAGCAATGGCTGTTGATTTGCAACAGAAGTGGGAAAGCTGCTTGTATTTGGAAAGTGGCTGGCAAACCTGAAGGCATCTTTTATGACCAATTTAACTATTCAGAGAAGCACTGGCTAACATCCTACTTTGGTGCCGTATTCACTTGGCCCTTAACAAAGTGGTCAAAATATCACCTTCATACATCTTATTAAGGTAACAAAAATAAACAACATTCAGTTGAGGAACTCTTACCCACTGCTTTACCAATATGTTCTCATGTTCCTTACAAAGTTCTAGATTCCTCCTTAGATAAAGACACTAAGAATAAAAGAAAGTCTTGTGTCAAGTTGTATACTAGAGACCCATAAACTTTATTTTAACTTCCCATTTAAGCTTACATCTTGGATACAAATACACAAGTAACTTATAATTGATGCTTTTCTTAACTTACTTGGATTTTCTTTTACTATCTTTTATCCAGACAAAACTGATTCATACTTGTTTGGGAGATGACTAGAACCTTGTAATTGAGGAAAATGATCTGTTAAATGTGGGTAAGATTAAAAATACAACAGAAAAAGCAATGATTAATCCAAAGAAATGAAATTACGGAATTTCAGGCATTGTAATGTGTGTGAAGTTAGTCTGGGCAGAGAAAATTTTTACTTAGCCTTCTCCTGTAACAAACACATAGGTTACCATTCATTCTATCTTATAAACAACAGGCACTCAAATAATTTCAGGGCAGAAAAGCCTTCCCTGATCTTATGTATCATGTACATCATATTCTATCAACCTCCTTGCAATGTAGCTTGTACTAACTAAACTTCAGAAGTTTGTTATAAACTTCCTATTGCATCATTTCAAGTTGCAGAAAATGTAAAACTTAATCTTTTTTTCCCCAACCCTACAGGGGCTGTTTAGAAATCTGTGGACGAATCTGTACTCCAGAAACAAAAATAACTTCTTAGCAAAGGATCACTAAGTACCCTTTGGACATACACTTTCTTCCAGACAAGAGTACCAGGGACTTGGCAAGCAATTCGCTCTCTGAAAACTACAAATACTAGCTGATGTGTTTAAAAAGATTCTGGGGTTGGGATTCTGTTTCATAGGCTGCTAATACTGATCTCTATGCACTGAGCAATGAGAAAATGAGCCTTCTGTCCTCCATCAGCAGCCCTCACCTGCAAGCTGAGTAAAGAATTGACCTACGGACACCTTGCAGTACTCTGAAGAATGTACCTTGCCTTGTGTTGATGCAAATTAAAAACTTTTTTTTTTGGGGGGTGTAAAGATGGGGTCAAAAAAGCAACTGATTTCATTACATGGGTTTACAATTTGAATTCTTTTGTGCTACAAGTATTAGACTTTAAATGAATCGTTTTACAAAGTTTACTTTTTCTTAAAGGTTACACCGACTCATAGTTTATTCTTATGTCAGGATAATTTTCACTACTAACTTAGAAGGAACCTCAGATTTTAACCTAAAGGGTAAGGCTGTTCAGATCTTCCTAAAGGTTCCTAAAAATGGTTTCAGGTTAATGTGATTCATGGGGAGGGGGGGACTAAATTCAATTGACTAGCAAAGAATTGGGCATTTCATCCCGTGATGGTGCTTGGTGATAAGGTTTCAGAGTCTGCCTACCATTTCTAACCTCTAAGTGGAAAACATTCAACCTCTGAGAAAAGGTTCAAGCATCTTTTCTAAATTTAAATTTTGCCTTAAATTCTACCAAAATGCCTTTGACATTCTTGAAAGCCCCTGTAGTTCTTTAGGGTAGGACTGGGCAACAGACTTCAAAAGATTTTTTTTTTTAAATCAAAGAATAATCCATACACCTCTGTCATTGTTTTATGTCCTTCACTTTACTGGGGAAGAGGAGGTAAAGCACTTTCTAATACCTCTCTGTCCATTATATTTAACTCTGCTCTCAACAGTCAAAGATCATGAAAAATAACTGTTATCTGAGTATCTAGAGGCTAGAGACTAGTAACTGATGAATGTTATGTACTAAATAAAACCCATCAGCATGGGGTTCTGTAGAAAAGCAATTTATTCCATTACAAGCACTTACACAGTTAGTTATGGAGAGTACAGGCCTGCTGGTGAAACAGGTCACCCAAAAGGGAGATGGTACCAAACTAGTGGTCAAAGACTAACTTCTTAAAAAAAAAAAAAAAGCAACTCTTATCCAGGATTAATTTAATTTTAAAAACAAATATTAGCTATCAATTCACCCTTCTCAACTTAACTGGATAGTCTACCCGTGGTAAACTGTCAGGTAAAAACATGTATCTTTACAACTTGGTGGTCCCAAGTTTTTTTTTAAAAAAAACCAAACCAACCATTTCACAGAAAGGAAAAAAATATTATGAAATCAGTTTAAGAAATACACTAACAAGCAAAAATATATGGGAAAAGAGGAACATGTAGAATAGTTCTGACTTAAATGAAGAAACGGAGAGGCGACTGGTCATAGGAAAATGTGCATCATGGCAAGTCAGGTGTGAAGATTTTAGACTAGAATCTGTATGACCTGAACCTCCCGCTTCCTGAATAAAAATGACATCTTGCAGTATTATACTCCATGGCTCAGACACCTATCTCACGTGGCTCTATTCCTTATCCACTCTAGCCTTTACTTAAACGAGTCTGAAAACCTTGGGATGATAGCATAAGAAGGAAAATAACCACACACATATATTCCCCTTTCTGTGGCTACTTCAGACCTGGGTTTGTTTCTAAAAAATTGTTGAAGAAAATTTAAGTCTGTGGCTTTGCTAAATCAAGTCTCCCAGTTAACATTTAGAAAACACCCACTGTTGGGGCTAATAGCTTTGTTGATGGTACATATAGAGGGATAGTCAAACAGTCTTGCCTCAAAACCAGTGTTAAAATCAATCTCGTGGTTGAGAGAAAAAAGGGGAGTCTAAAATCACAAGCACAGACATATCTAGGAGCCTTGTCCTTCTGGATCCACATTTCCTTCAGGGTCTTCATCGTTATAAATGTTCTCTGCCTGCCAAAAAACAAAAAAAGAGAAAAGGTATGTAGTAAACATAAAGGAAGCCATTTAAGAGTCCAGCAAATGTTGATGGGAACCTGACCAAAAACTAGGGTGTGGAGTAGAAACAAGAAGTTGGGTATTTGTGTTTATATTTCTAAGATGAGGATGGCTGAGAGAAACATTGCTGAGAAAGACTCAATGAAATTTGGGAAGTGAACTAGATCTAGAGATGAATAAACAATGGAAGAGAACTCTTGAGTTTAAGTCTGCTTATTTGGAAAACACTGGATCCATACAGAAAACAGAGATGTCAGGAAGTGGAAAAAGCAGTAAGGGGAAGGGAAAGACAGAAAATTCTATTCTGATGAGTGTGAGATACTGTGCGACAGTCACTAAAAGGTAAAGAGCTGGCAGCTGAAAACAGCCTGGAAAATAATGGCAGACAAAAGCTAACATCACATCCAGGAATAAAATGATCAGAGATGCCAGTTGTATTCACGAAATATATAAATATGAAATGATACCACATCTTATTTCTTACCAATGTACTTCCCTCAAACAAATGACCAAACACTTACCATCTGCCACACTTGCATGATGTTATCTTCTGATACAGAACAAATCACCCAAGGTTCATTGGGATTCCAGGAGAAATCAGATATCTTGGCAGTGTGACCGCCATGAATAAACTGAAAGAGAGGATACAAAAGATAAGAAAAACAGATGGAGGAAATTTAACTACAGGTATTTTACATAAACAATGCCCGATGTTGGTAGCATACCAGTAACTCTGGTGGCCCGTCTTCTGCATCTTCCGGGGATTGCTCCTCCCCAATTTTACTGGAGCAGAAAGGTTTAGAAAGTCAAAACAAATTCGCCCTGAGTAAGTATCTTTTGAAAGTGTAAATAAATAAAAGTAACTCCATGGAGAGAGTAGCTAATATAAGACTTACCTTAAATCCCAGACATTAAGCCTACGATCAGTACCACTAGAAGCCAAAATAGTTTCATTGTGAGGTGACCACTGAACCTAAACATAGCAAGGAAATAGGAAAGCCATGAATTACAAAATTGAGGGACAATTATCTAAAGTTATATTTAATAATTTTTAAAGTTTTAAATAAAAAGGGAAATCAAAGTACTTATACTATAGCTAAAATGGACAACTAAATCATACAATTTCTTTTAAGAAAACAATCTATTACTAGACTGGGCATCCCTCATAGTGCCCTAGCAATGCGCTTTGAACATATTGTAGCAATTATCTCTTGAATTGAGTCAGAAGATTTTGAATATTAAGGAGCTTAAACTGATGAGACAGAACTAGGCTTGAACTAAGAAATCAACAGACATGTTGAGACTATGAATGAAGGAATAAAAATTAGGGAAAAGACAGTAAGTACCAGTAGCAAGGCTGATAAAGTAACCAAATACTAGCTTTCTTTAACAATTCAAGAATGTAGGTTAATGATTAACTGGACAAAGAAAAGAAACAGAGGAGAAAAAACCACCTCAAGTTCCACAAGGACTGGCATACACATATAGAAAATTTCTATTATTTATAAACAATGGGATATATACATCCAGCCTTTTGTATTAAAAAAAAAAAAAAAAAAATTAGTAGTATTACTTTCTCTTACCTGGAATATTTCATCCTTATGTGATTCAAAGGAATGTAACTTGAGTTTCAGATTTCTCAGATCCCACAAAGCAACAGTCTGTGTTACATACATACATATATATATAAAAAAAAAGGCCAGGAGCAATTAATACCTTTTTATAAGCAAAAACTAAATAAATGAAAAAGCTGAAGAAATTCATCACGTTTTCTCTCAAAATATATCAAACAAACCTTGTCAGCTGATCCTGTGGCAAGAATGAATTCACTGTAAGGATTGAAAGAAAGGCAGTTCACTTCAGCAGTGTGAGCATCGACTGAATGGCTTGGTTTGGAAGTATTGTTCGAACGAGTATCCCAGCTTTCAGGAAAAAAGAAAACAGAAAATAAAGTTTGAAATGGGTGACTAAATATAAAATTTAATATATGAAGGGAGAAAAAAAAAGGATTCTAACTCACATCATAAGTTTCTGATCATCAGCAACTGACCCAAACAGAGATTCATGGAGCAAATGCCAGGAAACATCCTCAACTACTGCTGTGTGTCCAGTAAAGATGGTCTTTGCATCCACCACTTTTCCCTCCTTTGGAACAGCACTGATGTCCCATAGGCAAATGGTCTTAAATGCAAAATTAATCATCATCAAAAAAGGAAGGTTATCCCCACCCCACCTCCAAAAGACTGGTAACTAGGCCAATTTGCTTCAAAATGGGTAGGATACGCACATGGTCATCTGAAGCACTAAGTAAGTGCCCACTGAGATTTGGGTTCCAAGAAAGTCCATAGCCTTCCTTCTGATGTCCACGGAGGCGCAAGTCTGGGTTGCACTCTCCAGAAGGGTCTGCAAAGTAACCGACATAAAGACTATACAGTCTACTGGGTGTTTGGGTCTACTAGTACAGTAAAACCTGCAAAGCCAGAACCTGTGTAAAGCAGAAACATGTCAGTACACAAGTATTTTCCACTAATAGAGAGTGACAGAATAGTGCTAAGAATGCATCCTGTCAAAGGCAGAAAACTTGCAAGACCCCTAGAAACACAAGGCAGTCCCACTGAGTGCTGGCTCTCACAGGTTTTGCCATAATGGAATTTTGATCCAGAAGTCTGAAGCTTTTAACGTTTATAACCACATACAACCCACTGTGATCAAGTATATAATACTTAAGATGCACCATCACTTTGTTGTACATAGCTTTTGTTTTTCATTTAAGAGGCATGGATAAAGAAAACCCACACATACCAGATACCAGTATGAATTACCAATTACTAAGTTACACAAAGAGTAAGGAGCAGTTAAATTTAGACGTATTTTCTTAGTGATGACTGAGTAGGAAAGAGCAGATACCTGGTTTAGAAGGGTGTTTTGTATAGTCAAAAACAAGAACATCACTGGATGGAGTCTTTGTTGCAATGATGCAAGGGTTCTGGGGCATGTAACGGGCCCTGTTTACTTCTCCTTCATGGTTGATCTTGATTTCTATTTCAATCTTTCCACTAACTGAGCCAAAACCTCCAAATTCTGTAAATAAGATAAATTAGTTAATTGCAAATGAGGACAAAGCAAGAGCTATTCTATTTATATGTGCCACTCACAATACAAGAACACAAGAAGGCTTTTTCTTCCTCCAGAGAACTGGTGTAATACTGGAGGTAATCTAGGCATTTGTCAGCACTATAAAGTGCTCTCATGACCCTTACTGTATTTGAGTCTTCCCACAACCCTATACAGCAGGCAAGATACTTATCTCCATTTTAGATGAGAACAAAAGCTCACAGTACCTACCATAATTTGCTCGTGGTGACATGGGAGCTAAAAGGAAACCCCATTTTTATGATCCCTAAACTTAGTACTCCTTCAGCTATACGTACAATAATTTCAGATAATTATATACCTAATACAAAGTATTATATTACTATTTGAAATTAAAGAAAACTTCTTTAAAAGCAAGTAGGTTCTCAATAAGCAGTTTTCATATCTTATTTAAGGTATCAAATACATATGCTGAATAAATAATACCCAAGTTACTATTTTGATGAATAACAAGTACACAATGTCCTAGGCACTAAAGAGCCCCCCCGCACACCATTTATCTGGAGCTCTAGTTTGGGATGACCTTTATGAAATACAAGCAACCTTCTTATCTTCTCCTTACAGCATTTTTGAGTGCAGTGAGAAAAAACAGAGCTAGTTCCATTTTCCTAACCTCCCACTTAGATTTGCCAACCAAACTCCTTGGTTGAAATAAACCAGGTAGGCAAACACCAGACAAAAACATCTTTTATTCATATTTGACTACTGTATGCACATAAGAGAATATAATTTGTAACTACATAAATCTTAGAAAGCAATACATAAACAAAGGTAGTTAATGATCAAAGAACTACAAAAGGCAGCATAAAAAGGTAAAAAAAGCTCCAAAATGAGTCAGACCTAGAATTTCAGAGCCTTAAGTTATCTGTAAAATACAGAACTTGTAAGAGTTAAATGAGAAAGCATAAATGAAAATGCTCTGACATTAGTGCTGTGTATAAATAAGTGATATTTTTTGAAGGACAAAATCTTTCCAAAAAGCAAAGGACACAGATATGGTTGGCACATTAGATAACTTTCAACTTCAAAGTAACTTTTGAGCAAATTCAAATGGTTGAAAAAGTTAAGCTAAAAAGTTCAAGGTAGACTGGAAAGGAGGAGGAAAACAAAACAAAAAACAAAACAAAACAAAAAACCCAACCCCCACAACTACCACCAAAACAACACATTAGATGAATTCCACCCCCCCCACCCCGAATTAGTCCAAAAGGCACTTAAAATGTACACAAAAGGTGGCACAAAATATGATTATGTGATCTCAAGGAACTTTTAGTCTAAATTTGAAAAGATAAGCACAAAACTATATAGGACTATGGGGGGAAAAAAAGCGTAACAACTGCCATACAAAAAAAGAGGCACCAATGACAAAGGAAACGCAATAGCTGCAAAGAGCAAGGGGTAACCATTACATAATGTGGGCTATTTCAGTACTGGGCATATAATGAACTGAGAGCTTTTCAAACAGTACAGGAAAGCACAGCACTAAGATGTAAGTTACAGGATCCACAATTCTTAATTAGGGGTTACCAAGTTGAAACTGATAAGAAAATGGGCAAATTTAAACAGCAAAGACAAAGTGAGGTATCAATGTACAATAAACTGAATGAATGTTGAAGTATGTATGTTCCTATCATTTGTTTCTCTCCACATAATTTTTTTTAAATTGAGGTATAACATTCATACAGTAAAGGGTATAATCTTAAGTGTCCAGCTTCAATTACCCCAGGGGAACTATCACGCAGGTAAAAATTTCTAGTACCAGAAGGCACTCTCATGACCTTCCCAGTCAATATTCCATCCCTACCAAATGAGGTAACCACCATTCTTGTTCTTTTGACACATATTTTGTTTCATAACAATAGCTGCAATCCTCTTAATTTAACAGCTTTCTTCCTACCTCCGCTCCCCCCCCCCCATGCTGTCTCCACTTGTCCTTTTTTCCCCCTTTCCTACTTTCTAACCTTTGTTTTTGGTCAAATGCTGCTCGTTTGGTCTCACGTGGTCAACTGTTCTTAGGAGTGTGCATTTTTCTCTGGTGGTGGTGTTTATTTTATAAGCTTGTCTATTGTTTGGCTGAAAGTCGATTCTTTGGTGTGAGTTCAGTTCCAGGCTTGAAGAGTGTTTACGGACCACAGTTTCAGGGGTCCACTAGTCTCTATTAGACCAGTAAGTCTGGTCTTTTAAAAGTTCCACATTTTCCTCCCACTCTATCTAGGTCCTTCTATGGTCATCCTAATCAGAGTAGTCAGTAGTGGTAGCTGGTTACCATCTAGTCCTCCTGGTCTCAGGGTAGTGGAAGCTGAGGTCAGCCTCATATTCTTCTTCCTTTCTGGAGAAATTTTCTGAAAGTTTTCTTTTAACTTTTTATTATGACTTGGGTGAAAGGGTACACAGCAAATTCATTTTCCATTCAACAGCTGATACACATTTTGTTTCATGACACTGACTTTAATTCCCATAATATAACAGCTCTCCTCCCACTTTCTTCACTGTGGTTACCTTTTCCCTGTGTCTTCTTATGCATTCCTGTCTTGTGAGCTTTCTCCCTGCACAAATGCTGCCCTTTCGATCTTCCATGGTTGATTATTCTCCCTGGTGTAATTAACTGTTTCACCTATTCACCTCACTGGCCTGTCTATTCTTTGGCTGAAAGTTAAGCAACAGGCCTGAAAGGTAACTAGGAGTCACAGTCTCAGGGGTTTCACTGGTTTCTACTAGATCAGTAAACCTGGTCATTTTTATGATTTTCAATTTTGTTGCATTATTTTTCTCCCACACTCTCCGAGTCTCCAATTTTGATCCCTTTCCAAGTGATTAGCAGTGCTGGCCAGGGACTATCTAGTTCTTCTGGTCTTAGGGCCCTATAGGTTGAGGTTCCCATGTCCACTAGTCCCTTGGAGGTAACCACCATTCTGATTTCCACCAACAGACCACTTTGTTTTAAGCCCATAAACATTTTGAAGCTAGTTAAGAGTAATTTCTAACATTCCAAGTAAAATATGCAAAATACTTCATGATTTAACAACGTTGTTGTTGTTATGTGACGTCGAGTTGGATACGACTCATAGCGACCCCTCCTTGGGTGTCCAAGGCAGTATCACTACGGAAGTATATTGCCCAACCTTCCTTCCGGGAAGTGGCTGGTGGGTTTGAACCACCAGCCTTCTGGTTAGCAGTCAAATGGCTTAGGCACTATGCTACCAGCACTCCCAAATTAACAATAGATTATATATAATCCAGACAAAAAGACTAGAGAGTTCTTTTTAAATGTAAAACAAGCTACTCAAATAAAACCAGAAACTCACTGCCACTGAGTCCATTCTCAACCCCCTTTTGGTTTCTGAGGAGGTAAATTTTTACAGAAGTAGATTGCCCAGTCTTCCTTCCATGGAATGGCTGGTGGATCTGAACTGCCAGCCTTCTGGTTAGCAGTCAAATGCCTTAGGTAGGTAGTACGCCACCAGAGCTCCTCAAATAGATGCTAAAAATGAATTTGTTGATATGAAGTAAAATTTTTAAATTTTTCAAATTTAAAAAGTGACAACAGCCAAGCTGAATCTAATCTAACCACCACACAAGAAACTTTAAGAGACAACTGGATATATCCCCTTCTATCACAGTTGAGACAGTAAGGAGGCAGCAACCCTATTTTAAGCACCAAGCCTATCCAGAAATCTGAAGAAGATTTTTTGGAAAGAAGAGGACAGAATGAATATGCTACCTAACCTTGGAGGAAGTTACAAAATCATGAATGAGTGTCCTTGTAGGAATTACACAAAGTGATTTATATAGTCATTATCTTATGTGTTATTGGCATTATTAAGCATTAGTAAGGGAGGAAAAGATCTCATCAGGGTGTAAAAGGGAAATGGTTTGATGACATTCAAAACAAGGTCACCAGAAAAAGATTTGAGTACTATATATGGCAACTTAGTAAACACTGAAAGATCCATTTTAAACTTGTATGGTAAAATGTACAAGTACCAGAAGAAAATAATGGGTGAATAATTCAAAAGCTCAGAATGTGAAGGCCTTCTGAATGCCAAAAAATTTGGAAGACATAAAAATTTGGCAACTTAAAGTTTATATCTTCTAAACAGTTAAGACTTAGTCATAACACAAATTGGGGAAAAAAGTATCTATAACCTGGTTGTAAGGGATTATTTCCTTGTATGTTGAAGAGATAACCCAAAAGAAAAAAATGACCAAAAAACAAAAACAAAAAACCCAACACACACACACACACACACACACACAAACACCGTAACTACCTAAATGTCAACCACTAAGATATGCAGCCATCAAAAGAAGGTAGGTCTCCATATACTGATATAAAGAGTTATCAAAAATTTATTAAGTCAAAAATGCAAACTGCAAACCTTCACTATATATTCTTTGCTGTACCTCCTATATCAAGAAAAATGTCTGGCATACAATAAGCACTCAACAACACTTGCTGAATGAGTGATCCAATATTGAAATAAATCATTCATAAAACTATGTATCAATCTAATACTGATCTCTCAGAAATAGGTTTACAGGGATGTTTTAAATTTATTTATCTTCTTACAATTTATTCTGCTGCCAGTCATAATATTTGTTTTATGCCTTAACAACTTAAAGACAATTTATTTCCATGTAACAGAAAAATACACTAAGGTCCAGACAGGCTAAACGATTTACCCAAACCACACAATCGAGTGGTACAACGGGTCTCTAGCCCTATTCCTTCTCCTCCATTACAGATGCCTAGCCACAGAATAACTTTTCAGTAATCTTATCTTATTGCTACATGCTTAGATCAGTGACACAAAATTCTATGTGCTGACCTTAATCTTAAGAATTTGTTTTGCATTTTGCACCAGATTAAGGTAAATATGGAATGATGAAGTGACTAACTGAACAATTACAATTCTGAAAATAACAAGAGCCTGATAAAAGAATGTTAAGCTAATCAGGAGAAACATTAAACATCTGTAATTTAGATTAGATCTCTTAATGCAAGCCTGTCTTCTATGTCCTGGATAATTTGGGTTGAAGACAGTAATTCCTACCTTTTCTGAAAGGAAGAGAAAGCATTTCATGGGAAGCAATCAAACTCTTACGGTTCTCTCTTAAAAATAGGATATGATTAAACGGCTCATAAAACTTTAATTTTTATATACACAGGAAGTGTCATGATAAGTCCTTTCTACCACTTCAAACATGTGGAAAGGGTAATTTAAGCCAGGGTTTCTTAACCTTTTTTCATTAACATCCCCTCAGTAAGAGCCGACTCAATGCAACAGAAAGGAACCTGTTACGACTTCCCCTCCCTTTAGTTCCCCCAAATCTTGATGAAATTTTAATACCACAAACATCTTGTATGTACTATGCATATCTGTGTTTTATATATAAACAGTAAGACTGTATTCATAGCCCCACAAACCAATTTTTACTTCCTTAGGGGCAATACCACTCCTTCAGAGAATAAATGCATGCACAGCAATAATATATGATGGAATTTTTCTTCTTCTAATCCTAGAAAGTCAACACCACTGGTATCAACAGAGAAAACTTCATAGCAAAAGTACAGAACAAAGCATGTGTTAAGTATTTCTTGTAACTTCTATGACTAATATAACTTAGTATCTACACTGCAAACTCAGGCTTCCCCAAGCTTACATCTTGTTTCTAACTTCAGGCTACTTTATCAAGCCATACATCCTTTTTATGAGAGTTGAAGATGAAAAATATAACCTACACACCATTCCTTCTTCCATCTTTAAGATTCTTACCTCCTTTCTCACTGTCATAGTGTGATGCATCAAACTGAGCATCATCATTAGGGAGCTGCACACTGGCTATCACAAGATGGTTTTGTTCATCTGATGTGTGTGTTCCCAGGACAAGTCGATGAATGCTGAAATCTTTCCCTTCTGGTCTGTAAGAGCAACGCATGATCATTATTCAAATTAGTAACACCAATGGGAGATCACAATGTTAATGATGTATACATGGATGCAAAAAGCATTACTACCATCTTTTTGATAGGACAAAGTCATTAAGAGCCATATCTTCTACTTTTAATGAATCTCCCACAGGGCTGAGTATAAAAAGGAATACGTAATACTTAACTTTGTAAGTTATTTCTTAACTCTAACAATTTAGAATAACTTTAGGGAAAAAAGTAAAAATTCCAATAGATTAAAATACAAATGAACTACTTAGCCTCTTAGCCTTTACAAATAGGTTGGAGAGAAAGACATTAGTTCCTAACACTGTTACACTGAGTAAAATGCAAAAAAAAAAAAAGTAAAAGAGAGGGGCTTTGAACTAAAGTCAAATACCACAGAAAGGTTTATCAGAACAGAAAACTACACAGATGATAGTGCACAGATTTCAGTCTTGGAGAATTTAGTCTGAGTGCTTTCCAACCCCACCAAATCACTACATTACCTGGGAAGCTTTTTAAAAGGGTTCCAGAATGATCTAGGATCCATTGGTCCAACATGCCTAATTTAGCATATGATCATCATATATCTCGAATCACCATTCAGCTATTTCTCAAATACTCTGCAGTGTCTTTCTGTTTCAGTTTTTAAATGATTTGAACTATCATTGAGAACTTCTTACAGAAATGACTCCACTTACTCCTGAATTCATTCCCCAAGTAATTCTGATGATCAGCTGAATAAGAGAACTCTTGGTCATGATAAAGGTGCAATTTCTAGGTGTTTATTATGGTTTTGTATAACAAGGCATTTTCCTTTCTGCCCTTGTGAAGGCAACAGTCTCATTCTTAAGTTACTAATAAAATTTACATGTTGAATTTCTACTAGCTGAACAGAATCATAGGCTAATAACCACATGTTGCAAATATCTTGATTTCCAAAGATCTGAGTTTTTAAAGTAATTTTGCTAATAATTATACAATTTGGAATATTATTCTAAAAACTAAAAAAAGTAGGAAAGGAGAACTTATCTAAGTCATCATGAAACAGTGATGATATTTGTAATATCTTTAAATACTCCTCTGGAGGTGCTCATCAGGAAAATCCATTATTCCAACGGGCATACTGGTTTTGCTAACACTTTAAATGTCTATTATCTTAATTCACAATCATCTTTGGATTACCACTTCCTCCTGGAAGCCTTCCCTGATGCCTCAACTTGAGCTAATTTCTCCTTGCTCTGATCATTCTACCTATGCTACTCTTAGGGTAACTAATTATTTTGTACTGCTCTACTTTTATTGTGCCTTGGACTTCATGGTTTCATTTTGATGAAGTTCATTACCACGAAGTTCCTTATTTGAATCGTTCTTTAAATCCTTAAAAATCTCTCT